CCCAACCCCCGCTCCCAGCTGTAATAAAATGCCTCCCCTGCGCTGGCCTTGATGCCTCAGCTCGGCTTATCGGAGACAGAAAGAAATGGCGAAAGACTTCTCGTCCAAACAGGTACATCAGACAACACGAACCCCAGCCAGCCAGCCCACAGCCCAGAGGATAGGGGGTGGGGGTGAGGACAGGTCAGGTGCGGGCGGGGAAGCCCGGAGAGAGGAAGAAATGTTATTCGAACCCCCAGCTTTATCATCAATTTTCTTTCTCTTTTTTCGTGAAAAAGATTGCTTGCTTGAATGGTAATTATCCTGGGGCTGACTTAGCTTCGCTGTGTACTAACCACTACTACCCCAGAGGTGTGCAGGTCTACACCCCACCTTTTCTCTCTCGTTATTGCACCACCCCACAACCTTGCCGCTGTAGATTGATTCGGACAGCAGAGACTGACGACTACTTTGGGGAACAAAATTGCCTCCAGCCAGCTTCGCCGGCGCGGGTCGTCATGGCGGCGTCACGGCCGTCACCCCATCCCTCCCCCTCCCCGGAGCACATGACATGCCTCCTTTCTGGGTCCCGTCTACCAAGAAGGCCCTTTTCTATGCTTTTACGAAATGTCATGACACATCACGGCACAATACCATTTTCACTGACCAACGTACCCCAATATCCATGTGGTTTATTATAGTATATTAACTTTCCTTAAAAATAAATAAATACTCATGAGCCTTTGCACTTAAATCTATGATTTTAAAAAAAAAAAAAAAGATTTGACGGCTTACCTCATCGTCGAAGTTGGCGTCGGGGTCGGACATAGCTCAGGTCAGGCTCACGCCCCGCCGGCGCTCAGGTCTCAGGTGCACTGAGGCGCGCCCTCAGCCCAGCGCACTGCGCGCCAAGCCCCGCCCATCCCCTGCAACACCGAGCTCGTTAGAACAGAGACAGAGAGTAAGAGAGAGCGAGCAAGAGGGGGGTGCGGAGAGCGATGGGAAACAAGAGCTGCGTCGCCGTGGCCGGGGAGGTGGCAACCCCGCGGATGAGGCGGGGAATTAAGCGGCGCGGAAAACATTGGATGTCGTTGTTCCAACACCCGAGTAACATCCCACCAAAAGCAAATTTCAACAAAAAAATTCAGCCGCCGTCTCCTCTCTGGAAGCTCTGCTGACTGGACACGTTGCAACAACACCCGGCCCCCTGGGGTGGGCACCCCTTGCCTCGCCGGCTGAGCGCAAACCACTCGAGTGCAGTGCTGTGGAGTGGAGAGCGAGCAGAGTCTGACCGAAGCGAATTTTTATTAAGGACCATAACATGACCGTCTATGTAGAGTCCATGTTTCTCCATCCCCGTTCCTTTTTTTCCTTTCTTTCTTTGGCCCTTTTTTTGGAGAGCGAAATGGACGTTTGAGGACGTGCTCCACCGTGGTCCCTGCGAGGCGTGTGTATGCAAAGCGAGGCGCTGGACGCAATCCAAGTCCATAACTTATCTCTCCGAGTCCCGCCGAAGTAGGACTTACAAATGTTTCCTCTTAAGAAATCTGAAAAGCGGAGCAGAGCGGAGCGGCTCGCGCGGGCTGCGGCGCCGCGCTCCAGACCCGCGACCCGGCGCGCCGGCAGCCTCACGAGTGCCTCAACCGCCCCCGGGAGCGGCGCTGCACCCCCGCACTGCGCTTCACCCGGATGGCCCAAAGTTACATCCAATGCAATCGTGCAGAGTGGCTGCGGCTGTGCGTGCAGCTGTGCGTGCAGCTGTGTGTGCAGCTGTGCGTGCAGCTGAGCGTGCAGCTGAGCGTGCAGCTGAGCGTGCAGCTGAGCGTGCAGCTGAGCGTGCAGCTGAGCGTGCAGCTGAGCGTGCAGCTGAAGGTGCAGCTGTGCGTGCAGCTGTGCGTGCAGCTGTGCGTGCAGCTGTGCGTGCAGCTGAGCGTGCAGCTGTGCGTGCAGCTGTGCGTGCAGCCGTGCCCGCAAGGCCAATAAGGGGCGACACAGACAACGACGACCGAATCACGGCGTACCTTTGTGCCGGGGCAACAGTGTCAAGCTGTAACGATTTTCGCAAAAAAGCCGCCGCACATCGCGAGCAAACGAGAACACTGGACAAAACGCAAACAAGCCTAGCGGGTGTGAGACTCGCTGGTGACCCGGCCCTGGCCAGAAGCGTTGTTGGGCGTGCTCAACCTCAACGTGCCTTTTAAATACCTCGAGTCCCGCGTGGGCACGTTTAGCTATGGAAAACGTCAACACCCGAGATATTGCTCCGGAACTCAAGGTGTTGACGCTGTACTGAGCACAGGCCGAGGACCCCCAAGTACCGCGCTACGGATATCCGTCAGCTGGGCCTCAGTGGGGGAGGCGGGAGCCGTGCTGGAGGGCAGGAGGCGGCCCCCTACCGGCGCGGCTGCCGCTAGCTGCCGCGCACGGCGGGCTCCGGCTGCCGTGGTCATGTCACTGGGGAGGGAGAATTAGCGTAGCAAAGAGGGAGCAGGACTCTGTCGGGAGAAGACGCGGGCCCTTAACCCCTAACCCAATCGGTTGTCGCCAGATGGAGGCTCGGCAAAGGCAGCCCAGACACCGAGCAGATGACGTAGGAGGAGACAACAGACCAGGCAGAAAGTGAATTTGAAAATCTACCCCAAGTACATGCTAGTGCCAGTCGCCAATCTGCCTCCCACACTTGACTCCGCTTGACGCTCACACGCGTGCACACATACACAGAAACACACGCACACACCCACTGCCCCCTCCCTTTTCTACTTTACTTTCCAACTCTACAGACAAATATGTGCTGGGGATTGATCACAATCCTTCTAGATTTCAAAAGCACTAGTTACGCGTCAGGGACATTCTATTTATTTTACGAACAATAAGGGCGACTGGCTGATTGCCAGGTTAAAATAGACCGTTCCGACAGTGCGCATTTTGAGAAGAAATGAAGAAGTCGGGACCGGAACCAGTACCTAAATTGCGCTTATTTTGGCCATTTGACAGTGCAGTTCGACGTGAATGACCTCGATTAAATCTGTAGTAACTGTCAATTTTAGTTTTCACTGATTTAAGCCATTATTTTAGAACTGTTTCCGGTGGTGATTTCATTAATTCTTCTTTAAACGGGCACTGCCGGAACTATCTATTGACAGGTGACGATAGGGCTGCTGGATGCGCCGGGTGGGTGCAGAGTGGGCACTCGCAACTCACGGGTATATATAGGGCCACGAGACAAAGGAGTCCCTGGGAGGCCCCGACGGACCCTGGAACAGAGGCGAGGCGGCAGCGGCAGACCCCCCGCGGGCGAGGGCGATGTGGCTCGGCTCGGCTCGACGCGGCTCGACACGGCTCCGGGCGGGGCGGGGGAGTGCTCCTCGCACACTGAGCCCCGCGGAGCGGGGGTGAGGGCCAAGCGGGCTGCCTACAGCGCGGGCGCAGGTCGGAGCAGCACTGGCGCCCTCTCGAGGCTGGAGCCCGCGGCAAAGGGGGGGGGGGGGGGATGGGTTTCCTCCGATGCACCAGCCCGCCCAGCCACGCCGCGTCGTGAGAAAAAGCAGAAGGGCTAGCCACTAGCCAGACTTGGCAGGTGGGAGGAGGGGAGGAGTTGAGACAGGAAGGAAAGGAAGAGTAAGGTAGGAAAAGGGGTCACTTTAAAATGTCGAATAGAAAGTCATGTTCAGACATGAGACCTAAAAACACAAAATGGAGTCATAAGATAAATATGATAGCCTGGAAGGAGACTTGAGGCAGTTAAGGAAAATGAACAAAAGCAGAATGAGTAATTATGCACACAATGCTCTTTATTCACTCTGTTTGCAACGCATGAACCATGGCACACCAAGCAACGGTTAAGAAAACTCTCACAATGCAATAACGTAAAATAATTTTTTTTGAAAAAGCCTTATGCAATAAATGCAACCGGCAGGATATCTTTGACACTATGCTTTCACATGTATCTTGTAAGACAATTTTAATTATGTAAAATGACAACACATACTGCAACAGTATAGAAATAACTATGTCAGATAATGACATTTTGTTCAGAGAAGTCCTTCATCACATAAAAGTACAATAGGGACCAAATTGTAAAAGAAATTAGGGGGACTGAGGCCCACATCTTGGGCACAATAAAATCTTGGATACTTAGTATTTAGTCCTCAGCTTTTTCTCCATTCTGGTAACATCTCATAACTTATCATTACCAGAGATTCACAACAGTAATGTCATGAGAACTAAAGAAAAACAAGAGCACAATTGTAACAAAAGAAGCAATATACCAGAGACCTTAGAAAAACAATGGGTACACAGGTCCATAGGTTGAAATTTTCAATGTCATGCAATGAAGTCATTGCAAAAAATCCCAACCCCAATGAATTTTTTTTTCTATTGCAACAGAAAACCCTCTTTGATCCTCCTTAACAGCTTAATGCAATATCTTTTCCTAACAAAAAGTCTGTAAAATTCAATGGTGACAGTAAAAAATTGAAAAAGGAAAGCATTAACACAATCACCATTCAAACGAAGGAAGTTCATTTACACCTGGAAGTATTACCAGAGTCTCAAGTAAGTCTTCTGTTTTATCTCAAGGCTCCCTAAAGAGTTTCAACAGCATTTATCAACTTTTCAAACTTCAGTGAATTGAGGACGTCTCTTAGAAACATGAATGACTGATGTGAATGTGATGACAAATAACAATGATAAAAAATAAAAGATATAATACTAATAATAACAAAGATGAGAATGATAATGAAGATGATAAAAATAACAATACAAACTTAAACGCAGACCTATAATGTTTGTGCTATAAATATTGACCTTTGGCATGAATCTGACAAAAGAGAAACTATTCCACAGGGCTGATAAAAATTCATTTCAACTTTATGATAGACAATAAATAAATTTAGTGTGATTAAAAATCACATAAAGAATCTTATGAGACAATATACATTCTATCACATGAAACTTCACTTTTAGAAACGACTGAAATTCATTACAATGAAGGAAAACTGAAATTTTCCAGGCACATGCTAATGTGAAGAACAAATGATTCTGGAAATTTTGCCCCAATTTCACTATGCAAACATACATGAAATATAGGAAAGCTTGACAAGTTGCAAGTTACGCCCCTTGAAGCTCATGAATACCAGGGCTGACCTCACAAATGGAACCTAGACTGAAGACAATTCACATCAACGAGATAGTATAAGTAATACTAAGTACTGTACAGATTCACAACATGCAAGAGAATGGGATGAATCATTTTAGAAACATGAACTCTAACAGAAGGTACATGATTTGCATTATGAGTATGTTGTACAAATGCCACAAGTTTCACGTTCAAGCACAAGCCTTTCTGTTGAACTGGAATGTGTTGTGGCTACATCTTAATCAAATTAAGTTGCCAATTCAATGCACAGAATCATTCAACATCATTGCCTATAATTTTTATACCACCACATAAACAGAAGAATCTGTTCTATAAAAAGTATACATTTTTGAAAGGATGTATTCCATGATGTATGTACTCTTAATACATAAACCCTCAGGATGGGGATAAAAAAAACTGGGTAACACCTACTTCCTTATTTTCATAATCACAATCAACATTACAAGCACAGTGATTTGTAGGTAACTTTAAGAAAGAAAAGCAGACCAAATCTTCACAATATTACATTGGAAGTCTGTAAGAGCAAATTGAAGAGGAGCAATTAGGATAAACATCAAGGTACGATCACTTCAACTACAAGATGCAATGACAAATGCATCAGTACTCAGAAGGGCTACAATTACAAATTTACAATTTGGATTTATAATTATTGCTAGTAGTTGCACCGAAGAGCATTACTCTCATTTAGACCTGAGTACTCATATTCTAGCACATATCAGAAGATACAATCCTTCAAAAAAAGTATAAACATTTTAAACAAAAAATACAGTATTTTCAACAATATCTTATTGAAAACTTGTCAATGAAAATGTCTCCTTATGTTCCTTCCCTCCCACATTGCAATAAATATTCATTGTTACACAGAAAGATAAAATGAATGCATCAGAATGAAAGATGGCTTATATCTCACACACACACAGACGACTTAAGGACGGAGAGAGTTCAGGCAACAAGAAAATCGCTTCTATAACACGAACTGAAATTTTTTTCATTGATTTTAGATGAGTGGTTAATAACAAACAAACAGGTTCCAGGGATTGGGGGATAAAATAAAAAAGGGAGTGACTGTTACAGTCTCAGAACTAGAAGACAGAACATGTAACTATGGTTGAACTATTGTGGTGAAAGCCAGAACAATGAGGTGTGCATTGTGGTCCACTCAGAACAGAAATGAAACGAAATAAAAACAATGCCCGCTAAAATCAACGATCAAACTGAGAATGCAGGTAATTAAAACCAAAAGCTCAGAAGGTAAGGATAAGAACCTTCAGTTTGGCACTGATTGAGCTACTGTGCGATGCAGAAAACTGAAAAGTTAGTACTGCCTTGTTATATTGAGCTTTTATATACTAAATGGAAGTTGAATTAGCACTGATTAACACACAGGAACAAACTGAATAATCTACAGCATCCATTTAAAGAAGAAAAATCATTCTGGACTACTGCAATTTTCAATACAATTAAGCAGGGTGACTAATTATAAAGATGTTACCTCAGAACAAGTTATTTAATGAAGTTTGGTCCAGCCTTGCTTCTCTGTTGTTAAATGGTAGCGAGTTACATCTTCACATTGATCTGACAGTGAAACTAAATCTCCATAAAATTCACATCAATAAATGAAGGATGGCACTAATACAAGCTGGCAAGTTTGAAAACAAAATCATTATGATAAGTGATGCAGTGCTGGTTGTTTGTAAAATTAAAAATGATAATTAAGGTTTAAACTCATTCAAAATAAAAAGATGAAACTGACACACACCTCCAACAGATAACAATGCTTTGTCTGAATGACAACCATAAAACAGACCCATGTCAGGTCAAAAGTCTTTGAAGTAAAAAAATTATCTGCTCCTCGTAAAAAACAGATGTTAGAATAATAAATCTTCTATTATTGCAAATCTTTGTTCAAACATCACTCCTTGAAGCATTAGTTGTGACTAAACCCCTGACAATATTAATGGCAAACACAGTTCTTGACACATCATAATCCACATGTCATAAGTCAATGACAAAGATCAACAGCAACCAATGGAAAGAGTTAAAATGGCTCTTTTAAATTTTGTGCTTGGCTGAGTTTTGTTGAGTTTGAGGTGCAAATACAAATGCATGTTTCTTATTGGCAAAAAAAAAAAAACCCTTGAAGTTTTCTACCAGGTCAGACGTTTGAAATTGTTAATCAGTAGAGTCACTTCCAAAAAAAGAAATGCGTAAGCACCTTTCTGGCACAGATTCAAGACTACAGCTTGTGTTTATGCCACTCATGCTTTGACCACACAAATGCTTGCTATGTAGAACCCTGGCTAGTTATATCAAGGAACACTACTTCATTAAATATTTGTGATGTTTCAATTTTTGTGCAAGATAAAATAAATAGACATGAAAATTAAACATACAAATACAGATAACAAGAGAACAGTCCAGCCAATGTGCACACATTCACATCACAAGAGGTAAGACTTATATACACTTTGGTTCTTCCTATCGCTGCCTGCCAAAACATCAGGCCAGCCCATCTCTTCCTCTGCCTGTTTAAAATCTTTTTACTCTCCATCGTAGGTTCATTCATTTCATACACAATTATCACTCATTCTGAAACTCAATACAATTTGTTCTTATATGTCACATTCACACATATCAGTGTGACACAAGCAGACACACAAAATACCATTTTACTTACACACATATTTAGATATACATTTACATGTATACTTATACCATAGTCTTAATGGTATATGAATACACATACACGTATAAATTGAATAGATACACATCATTTATTGGTTGATTCATCCATACCCCTTCCCCAGAAAACATAAACAGTACTATAAACACTGTGACTAGAGAAAATGAAAAACAAGAAATAACTTTGATCAGGTATTAATTTTGAATTGATGACATCACATTTGTTCACGGTAACCTAAATTTTGAGACAAATTGGGACAACAAAATAAAAACCATCAAGACACATGCATACATACGTACATTCAGTTCACTAGCATTCACAGGCAGCACTGAGGTTGCGGGCCATCACAATAGCTCGTACTGACGTAGGTGCATACGTTGTATAATGTCGCGGCAGTCATTGAACACTCGGCGGATGTTCTCTGTATCTACAGCACAGGTGAAGTGTGGATAACAATAATGTTTTCCATCTCCACTAGCTGTGCTAATGCGCTGTAAAATTGAAATAAAAGAATGAATATCAAATCTATTGTAAGTAGATTATGTGAAAAGTATGCTGGACATCTGAGGGATGACTTACCAGAAATTCATCTCTGATGAAGTACTTAGCCCTGACCACTTCAGGGTGGTCTGAAGGCTCTGACGTTGCATCTACGGGAGTCTGATATCGAGAAAAATCTGCAAAATATTCCTCCAGGCGAGATTTCCCTGCTTTAATTTTCTCCGCCAACAGATCTTGCTTATTGAGGAACAAAATTACAGAGATTGTCCGCAGCCACCTGAGGATGAACAAATTCAGTGTTAAAGGTTCTATTATTTGCATACACCCACAAACTGAAGACATTCATACATGATCCTTCATACCTGTTATTCCAGATACTCTTAAAGAGATCTAGGGACTCCCTCAACCGATTCTGTGTTGGATCTTCTCGAAGAACCATATTGTAGGAGCTGCATGCTGTTACAAAGATGATAGCAGTAACATCGTTGAAGCACTGAATCCACTTCCGGCGCTCGTCGCGCTGGCCTCCAACATCAAACATGCTAAACCACAAAGAAACGCCGTCAGTGCAAAATACTCAACTTTATTCTGTACTGTCATGATTATTAGAATACTAATCACTTACTGAAAATTTACTTTGTCCACTTGAAACCTGGTCTCAAAGATACCGGAAGTGAGGACACGACACCTTAAAATATCCTACAAAATTCAAAGTGCCACATGTTAATTTGAGATGATACACAAGCAGTGATGGATAAAAATGACAGTAGCTACAGGAAATTAATTTGTTACCTGCTCTGAGGGAGTATAGTCAGGTTGTTTGATTATATGCACTTGGTCTAGGAAGCTAAAAAAAAAAAACATAATTAATAATATGTTAAAGAGAGGAGGTTCGAATCATCTATGTTAGATTAGATACATTTAACTTACTATTTTGCACAGTCAATGAGCTGATACTCATTAGATCGCTCAAAGCATGCTTGGACACCTCTGTCCTTCCATAAAATCTCAGTATGTTCATAAAATTCCTAAAAACAAACAAACAAGTAAATAAGATTATGAATTGCCCAAATATTGAAGATTTAAAGAAAACATACAAATTATTATTTTAATATTTCAACACAATCAGATTTATTAGATATAGTGGAATACTAACTGGTGGGTAATCAAAATCATGCTGTGATGCGACATCTTGGATGTAGTCAACCCTGCTCTGACTTTCAGGTTTCTCCAAAGATATGGGTGGAGTTAGTGTGCTCATAGCACCTGTAATTGTCTGAAAATAGATATCAAAAATTGATTACTCTTCAAAAAGTTAAGGAAAAACTTATCATACTTAAGATACTTACTAATATTGCATCTCGTATATTTTTTTTAATATCTTCTATTTTAAGCATTTTTTCCCTGGAGCAAAATAGGAAAGAATGTTAAAATTTAGAACATCTGTTTTAACTAATAAAAAAAAGACACGTTGACAAACAAATTCAAAAAAATTATCGTACTCTGGACTGAAGCCATTGACGTGAAGTATCCGCATCTGCTTTACAATCGTACTTTTACCAGACTCTCCTGCCCCTGAATATGCAATACAAACAACCAAATTATTTGCGCGAAAGCACAACTGGTTAACAGAATATAGAATCAGGATAATTAGTGTTATTAATGATATATTGAGGAAAGTTTTGCTGAAAGAACACTGATTGGAAAACAAAACAAAGAACCCTCTACAGCTTTGAAATTAAATGAAGGCTCACAAATTTGGTGACACTTAATATGAGTTGGTAAATAAGACGTACATATCAATTCTGTTTAAGATAAAATAATGGCTAAGATTTTATGATGGTTTTTCACAATAAATGACTCGATTCATAACTGGCAGAGGTGGGCAGGCAAGTCAATTGAACACCAAAGTGATGCGAAATATTACCTGACCTCAGATTGAGGTTAAGAAATTGCGGCAATAACGCCGTATTAAAAATCGGAACAATAAAAATTCTAGACACATTTCCCCACCATCTTACGCGTCAATATGTGGACAAGTACAGGAACTAATAGAAAGGAAATGTGATGGAAAGGTACAAGGAACCGCCATAACCTCAGCGACGGAGCAATTGCAAATCTTTAATTCCAAGAAAGAGGCATGATATAAGGAATCCCAATGAATTTGATCAAAAAGGTAGGCAAGATTTCATTTGAACAAAGCCGTAAAACAAAGGGAAATCGAGATAAATAAAGAACTGTCTACCGTGTTTAGCAGCAAACTCTCCCCGCCCATAACAACCACACTTGGAGAGACAGTAAATTTCGCGAAACACAGATTGAGAGGTGAGCCGAAGCGCTTAAAATAATTAAAATAAAATTTCGTGAAGCCAAGGACGGGGCAATTGCATAATGGGGACATAAACACCCCTACCGATAAACGCAAGTATTTAAATATAAACCAAATATGGCTGATGGGGTTGATACTTACCCAGCAACAAGAGCCTGTGTGTGGCTCTGTACACCTGTTTATCCCTCTGAATTTGTTGGTTTATCCTTTTGTTGGCTTCCTTCCGTCGTTTACTTTCTTCTTGGTCCGCCTTTGAGCTCGCACTTCCAAAACAACCCATGACATCGGGCCCGATCTCAAGAAATATGGTGGCCAAGCAGCACTGATAAGGATCGCGCTGCCCGTCGCCCGCGGCCGAATTCCCTATTTTGTAGGCGATTTTATCACTAACAAGACACAACACTCCTATCTAGTCAACGCGGCGCGAATCCCGAGTTTCCTTGCCATCGCCAAAGCATAGAAACTTGTTAGTTTATCGAGATATCCCCCTCACCCTCAGCGAGAACGCTTGGAGTGTGTCCGAATTCAGCCACCGACCGAGCACCGACCGGTCGGTGGTCGAGCGGTCGGTCGTCGAGCGGCCGGTCGCGAGCCGCTCCAAGCAGCTATGCCAACCGCGAACCACGAAGTCCTTTCGCTGGGGATGGTTGCGGATCGCGACTACCCCCGCGGAGGACCCGCGGAGGACCCGCGACGATCCCCCGCGTAAGACCCGCGCCCTACGATCATCCCCCGCGAAAGGATTTCGCGGTTCGCGGTTAACCCAATGTGGACAGGGTGGCATAGCTGCTTGGAGCGAGTGGCTCGCCACGGCCCGGCCACCGACCGCCCGACGACCGACCGGTCGGTGCTCGGTCGGTGGCTGAATTCGGACACACTCTTCCATTTCACTGCCAAGGGTGTGCACAGGTGCACTATGGGTAGCCTACCGCCTTCTAGTCCGACTTGATGGGCTCGCTGATTTGCAAGGGTTAGATACAGTTCTGCGACGTTCTACGAAAGCAGGGTTGAGCATGAGTCTATTAGATAAAACTTTTAATGTTTCGTATTGTCCACGAATCAAAACGCGGAAACAATGGCATGCCCCGTTCCGAACTCTGCTTCGGACTCGGATCGGATGGGTGGGGCTGCTGAGGGGGCGGGGCAGGGGCGGTAGGGGCGGGGCTTCGGCCATTGCGAGATGAATGGAGGCGCCAGGCGAGGCGCCGGCGACAGAGAAACGCAGAGCGCCAAGTTTAAGATTGCCTATCGCTGTCTCTGTTGACAGCAAATAACGACAAATGAGGCAACCTTGAAAATCATGGGCTAGAAAACCCCTGGATGTGCTAAAACCGAGGCTAGAAGAACCGGAGGATTGGAGGGAAAACCCACGCAGACATACACAGCACTGAACCGAGGTAACATATAAGTAGATTTTGGTTTTCCAGCAGAACCCATTTTGATTCGCATAGCGCGACTACTTGTCACTTGACTGGAATTGACATGGGTTTAAAACTAGCAGGTTGATTAAAGCGATACTTGGTACAGGGTACAGGAACCAGCACACCCACGACACGAGATATGTTTCGAAGCTTTGCGATGGACCGTTTAAAGGTGTCCTCACGATGAACGTCTCACGAGGCAACGCTAACGATAGCGCCGCCAGGCAGCCGTGTGAAGACGGCCAGGCCACCCGCCCAACGTCGGGCAAGTGAACGTTTATTCGAACAACTTTGCCTCGCCTCACCTCCGGGAACTTTTCTTGTGGGGGCACCAAGTCGCATTCAAATCTTTGAAAAGGCGTCTACCAATTGATAGTAGTAGACTGTTCGCCAATTAAAACGGGTGCCCCGACCAAGGCATTGATTGAGAGCAACACTGTTCTGTACACACGTTACAAGTAAAGCATTTTGACTTCCCGCGCAAATTTTTTCCTCATTTCTTCTGTAAACAGGTAACCAGGTAGACCACGACCATACTCCCGAGGTCTTTAAGGCATTCAGTCCGATTGATAGGAAGATATTCTTTTTTGAGGGAAGTACAGCTTTAAAACGCATTCTGACTTACCTCAGGTGAAGTAAGGGTGCAGCGCAGAAATATTCATCAATTTGTATCTCGACTCACCTGCAGATTAAGATTAAAGGTTGTCAACTTTGTCCAGGCGGATGAGCCTTGCAGAACCCGTGTTGTGTTTGTGAATGTATTTCCGGTGTGTTCTTCATGGAGGATTAAATGGCGGCTGATGAAAAGTGGTATTTTACTAAAGAACAATTAGCAAGTACACCAAGCACAAAATGTGGTTACGATGTGGACAGAGAATTATCGTGTCGCCAGCAAGCTGCTCACCTCATCCAAGACATGGGGCAGCGTCTACAAGTGTATCCTTGTGATTTGATTTGAGGCTATGTGAATGTCGCTGTTCCGATCTGAATGGACGTATATTTAGCGTCCTCATCGAAATTAATTAATTTTATTTGTTTCGGACAAATTTCATTATTGCCCAGGATAATCCGTTCCATCTCATCCCTTAATTTTCGCCTTAAAGTCAGGTGATGCAACTTCAATCTTCGGACCTTGAAAGTTCTCTAGCCCAGTACTGTGCCACGCCATTCTGATAAAAACAGTCTACTAAGCTTGTTCAAGCCTTTTCCATTTATTTCTTTTTCATCGCCTGGGTGTTAGGGAAGCTGCTTCTTCTCTCATATGTTTTGTGCTTCTGGAATAGACGAGCTGATCTATGCTAGGTTAAGGCCCTCGGTATGCATTTCGAGCTCTGTTGTGATTAGCCTAACCTCAATCCAACGCTACTTTACAGATTGCGCAACAACTTTCTATTGCTCTGTAAAGGAATTGGACGTTTGGAAGGCGGTTAATCCGTGTTTACTTTTTTAGCCCCGTACTTTTTGACTACTTAGGGTGCTGTGTGATATTGGTATTTCCTTAACCAACTCTTCAGTTCTCAGCTTTGCATCAATACAGCAATCGTGTACATGCACCGATTTTATGTATTCCATTCATTTACCCAATTTCATCTTGATGCTATGGCTGCTGCATCACTCTTCCTTGCTGCCAAGGTAGAGGAGCAGCCTCGTAAACTAGAACATGTAATTAGAGTAAAACAAATTTGTCTACATAGAGATCAACCAGCCCTAGATGTTAAATCCGAGGTAAGTCACTCATCAACTAGCTCAAATCATTTCCCCTTTACACTGTTTCATCAGACAATTTATTTGTCATATTGGCATACTATTTTATCCCTTTGTGCAATCTGAAATTAATGTTTAATTTGTTGATACATTCCAATACCCATTGCTGGTACAGTGATGCTGATACCTGTTTACCTGTGCTGTAACTAAGCCTATTTTTCCTTGTAGCAATACCTGGAACAAGCCCAGGATTTAGTCTTTAATGAAAATGTCCTGCTTCAAACATTGGGATTTGATGTTGCAATTGATCACCCTCACACATATGTTGTCCGCTGTTGCCACCTTGTGCGTGGTAAGTGAGGACCCAATCCAATTTTTCTGTGCAGAAACTGTGAAATAGTCAATTTGCTATGACCTGTAGAGTTTTTAGGAGTTTTCACTTGCATGATTGATTATTCTCCAATTTTTCACAAGTGCTTTATAAATTCAGTATTTATATTGTACTTTTGAGCATCTGTCATTGGCATTTTGATGGTTTCATACACATTGCTGTACACTGTGATGTTCACTTTGTTTATGCAATGTTTACTGTTCACTCACAGCCAGTAAAGATCTTGCTCAGACATCATACTTCATGGCTTCTAACAGGTACATTCCAGGGCATATGTATATTGTTGTCTTTGTGAGAAAAGTGCTAATAACTTTGTTAATTCATTTTTCAGTTTGCATTTAACCACCATGTGCCTTCAATATAAACCCACTGTTGTGGCTTGCTTTTGTATTCACTTAGCCTGCAAATGGTCTAATTGGGAGGTGAGTTCTCCTACATACATTCCCTATCAATGTTTTATTTTTCCAGTGCCAGATGAAATAATTAATGTTTTTTTATTTAGATTCCCCAATCTAATGAAGGAAGATATTGGTTTTACTATGTGGACAGAACAGTAACTCAGGAATTATTAGAACAGTTAACTGATGAATTTCTTGTAATTTTTGAGAAGTGCCCATCAAGACTAAAGAAAAAAATTAAGTCAGCCAACCAGAATGCATCCTCATACCAATTTGTGAGTTTCCTTCAGTACATTTTTTTCCCCAGTCAATTGCTGTTAGCGCGATTCGGCGGGCACTACCGGCCCAAATCTTTCTATCGGGGAAATCATGATATTAGATTTCCGTATTCTAAAGATGTTGCCGTTTTTTTAGGTGAAAAATCGTAATAACCTATATTTATTTGACAACCATTCATATTTCTATTTTGTAAGCTCTAGCCGTGTCAAATACATTCAGTACACTAAAAACACAACGAAAAAAATATTTTACCATTTGATTTAATGGTTTATATTTTAGAACCCAACAGCATTTACCACTTGTCTTTGGTACTGTAGGTATTTGGCACTGACTATCGAGGTTCAAACAACGCCTTTTGGCGCATAAATCGGCCGAGTTTGGACTGAATTTAGGTCAATCAGGTCAAAATTTAGTCTAGGGATGCCCCATATCCGTCATTCTAAGGGGTATTTCGTTATCTATGGGAATATCTATCTGGGGTTACGTATAAACCATACTAATCTTATGGGACTGCAGAACCAACATTGTTACAACTGGGTTATTGTGGTATCCGGATATTGTTCTAATGGTACTTGACTATTATATATCTGTGTCTGCTGTTGTTGTTATTAAGTCTACTGTTTATCATTATGTAATGAGGTATTAATTTGAGTGTGTGTAGTAATGCAAGATTCTCTCAATATCTGTGTTTTTTCTTTAATGTAATCTAATCTATCTTGTTGAACCCCAATGTATGTATCTATTTTGTTTATCTTTGTTTTAGGACAAAATTTCTCAAAGAGATGCTATGCATGAAGGAGTTAGCTTTCATGCTCATCATAGACCACAAGACCCTAACAAACCTTGTACGTTGAGTACCGCCCTCATTTTTTCTGAATTTTTAGGGGGTCTGTTTTTATTTTGCTTTATCTATATTCCTTTTTTTGAATGTTTTTGTCTTTTTGTAGCATCATCTCAAATTCCTGTATCTTCCAGTCAACGCTCTGACTCCCGTGAATATGACAAGCGGGAGAGAGATCGACAATTGGCTTCATTGGGTTCACATTCCCAACACAGGTTTGTATAGTTTTGACCGATCCGTTCCCCAGCCCAGTAATATGATAGTAAAATTTAACTGTATGTCATTGTCTTCAGGGATGGTCATCACCGAAGTAGTCATCACATGGGTCATCCACAATCCTCATCTGCCCTTTTAAAGCCCCACGCTGGGGCTCCTGTTCCAAATAAGATGCCACATCCTGGCCAGCATCGATCCTCTATGTCTCATCACCCACGGCCTGATCACCATGTCAGACCAGAGCAACCTCAAAGACCAGACCACCAAGTGAGGCCGGAGCAGCAACAGAGAGCAGACTATCAGCAGAGGCAAGAGCGCCAGTCAAGACCAGAGCATGGGGCTCGACCTGAACACCATCCTCGAGGTGACCAACAATTGAGACCTGATCAGCCACGACCAGACCACCATCCAGCCAGACCTGATCATCCAGCCCGAGTTGATCATCAAAATCGACCTGATCTCCAACTAAGATCTGAACATCACCCAAGACCAGACCACCAAAACCGTCCAGATCAAATCAGACCAGATCATCCTAGCAATCAGACTCGAAGTGAACATTCACAGAGGCCTGATCCTGTAAGTAGGCCAGATCAAACCAACCGTCAGGAGCATTCTGGAAGAGTGGAACATCAAGGTGGAATGGAGAGGCATGATCGTCCTGATGGCTCTGAAAGACTTGCTCATCCTGAACAGAGGCATAGCGGTGTGACTGCAGCTAGAGATCAGCTTAGAAGGGAAGCAGCACTTCAAAGAGAGGCTTCTCGTCGTGAGGCTCTTCATACCTTACCATCCACCATAATGAATCATTCACCTGCTCAAAGGACAACAAGTGGTGATAGTGCTATAAGTTCCAGTAGTTCAACATCTTTAACACCTTCTAACCAAGAGTGGTCTGGTTTTGGTGTTACTTCAGCGGCAACTACAGGGCCATTACCTATACCATCAAAACATGCTGCACCTTCAGACCCAAGTCATAGACATTCTACTGGCTATGAAAAGCCAAAATCTTCAAATTCTGCAATGGATTCTTATTCTAGGCACAGAAGTAGTTTACCTGCAAATGATCGCAGACCAAGTAGTGCATCTGTGTCACTAGACAGGAAAATGCTGCAAGAAACAGAAAGGCGTCAGCTGGAATCATTCTTTGGCAAAACAGGTCAAGCCCCACCATATAAAGAAGTGAAGAAAGAACCAGAGGCTATTCAAATGCCCCCTCAACCACCTGCTGTGCCTTCTGCCATGCATATCAAGAGAGAGAAAGAATCACCTATTAGACAAACACTCAGTGTTGTACCTCCAGTGGCAGACATGATGTCACAACAACTGGGTGCACGTCAAAACAGTTACAAGACTGTTGCAAATGATTATCCCATTGTAAAGAGTATAAAATTGGACCCAGACTCTGAGTCCCTACCTGGCACACGGAATGGGACCACTCTTTCTGCTCCCCTCATACCTAAGGTAGAGAAAATAGAAATGGATATTAAAGAAGAGAATTCAATATCAAGTAGACTTCCTAATCAAAATGACAATGCCCAAACATTGTCAAATAGAAGTTTAGATTCTAGACTTGCTCCACCAGTGCCTAAAGCAGAACAGAAGCCAGCACATCATTTGCTCAATAGAATGTCAAGTTATCCTAATAGTGATAGTAAAGGTATGCTTTATCCTCAGACAACCAATCTCAGTCAAAGTACTCAAAATCAAGGAAGAAGCAACACAAGTCTTTCGGATGAGCAGACTCAGCTACCTGCTTTGCTCGGGGATGCGCGTCCTTTGGTGCCTGTGAAGAGTGTGGAAGTCAGAACAGCACTGCCAATCACTCCAATACAAGGAGATCTGGGTGCTGTTGCTTTTCCTGCATCAGAGTCAAAGGATGTAGCCCTTGCTCCTGTTTCAGATGAAGGCTTGTCCGCAGATCATCATCACCATAAAAGCAAAAAGAAGAAAGAAAAGAAAGAAAAGCACAAGCATAAAGACAAGGACAAAGAGAAGCATAGAGAAGAAAAGAAACACAAAAGTAAACACAAAGAGAAGGATAAAGAAAAGCGCAAAGTTGAGACAGCTGCTGCTGAGGTGGTCCAAACCAGTCAGTCCAAGCCAGCACTCACTTTAAAAATTAATAAGGCTAATATAACACCACCTCCAGCTGCACCTGCTGTTGCCCCTTCTAGTGGTGGTTTGAAGCTGAAGATAAATTTGTCCCAGTTATCGTCTACACCTAGTGGGTCATCTAAAGAATCGCGAAAGCGAGAACGCGATAAAGCCAGCCCTGGGTTGGAAACTTCCCATTCTAAAGCTCCCAAAATGAGCTCAGATGTTGATACTCCTAAACGTGGCAGCCACAGTGGTACCAGCAAAAGCAGTAGCAGTAGTTATGCCCGTCAAAATGGTCTGGAGTCCCGTGGTGGGAGTCGTCATCATATGCAACATCCACAGCACTACAGTGGCAGCAAGGTACGTAGGAGAGGTGGCATGCATAGTAGGCCATTTAGATATGAGCCTCCCACTGTCAATCACATATCAATTTCTTTCAACAATGATGTGCCTACGCCATATATGCACTCTGTCCCAGTTACATTACCAGACACGAGTATTCCTCCACCACCCATACTACAGTCAATGATGTACTATCCCCCATATCAGTATCCATACTCTTACTATCCAATGCCTTACACCCCATCCCAGGTGTTTCCTACTCGTGCTGCCTCCACTCCCCCACCTCCTCCACCCCCACTTCCAAAAGAACCCCCTCCTTCCGCCCCACCCCCTCCACCTCCCCCACCATCTTAATACATGCACATCTCTTGTGAAATCTTTAAAATTTTATGTGAGGTGGTGTATTACAAGTACTTTTTTTGAAAAAGAGGACTTTGTAATATTAGTGGCCAGCTGCTAATTTTGCATTTATGCTGATTTCTTTCAAATGTATTTTTTCTTTTCCTTCATGATAACTTTCTCTCCCAATTTCAATCTCTGGTCTAAAACTATTCAAAGCTTGGCTATTTTGATCTTGAAATGTGGAAGTGTTTTATTTTAAGAATACCTCTGCATCTGTTATTCCAGAATTCTTAACATTCAACTGTCCAATTCTTTTATTTAAAAATCTAGTCACTATTTGCGCATGAGGCCATGTAAAAGTACGTAATGCATGACAAATTTTGTCTCAATTGACATGTCTTGTATTAAGAATTAAACATATGAAGACTGTCTCAATCTAAATATCCAATTTTAAAATCTGGATGTGTTTTCAAACCGTCAAATACATACTAGAATGAACTTTAAGTTCAGACTGTCAGTAAACTTTGTTTTCCTGCCTTTATGATAATCTTTTATGGATATTTTCTGTCAAAACAGTCATCCATAGGATAGCGTTTTACTTTTTAAAAATATTTTGTAGTGAACATAGTGGTACTAGTGGTCAGAGTATTTACAGGGATAGATAGACATTATTTACGGGTGCACTTTATATTCAAATGATATATGAGAATGAATTAAAGCAATACTGAACAGCTTCCATGTAAGGCTAAAAGACTGAAGCCCTGTTGGATTATTTCTTTTAACTAGTGATAACCATTTGGCTATTAGGCTCACTTTTTCTCTTTTAATAATTGTTTTCTTTCTTTTGCTTACTAAAACCAATGTGGAAGCCTTAAACAGCTCTATCCTTTGGGCAATTCCAGAGACGGGTGTGCCTGCGTAACGCGATTTGTGAGTGACTGAGAGGTGCTACGGTTTTGTACTAAACATAACTAGACGCGTTATGAGATTGCTATTCCGGACATGTATTGCAAAGCAACGTAGTGCCTCTCAATCGGCCGCAGATCGCGTTACGCACGGACATTTTTTGCCATTTTTCCTGGAAATCCCCTTATATTTCATTTGACTTGTTTAGAACATTATTGAGCACTAGTACACAAAATGTATTGCAGATTCATTTCAGAATAGTTCTATTTTGGATCCCTTGTGCATGTTCATATTTTATGAGAAACTCTTTAGTATTTGTTTGTGCAAAATTAGACTTGTCTGCCTTGTTTTGTTCTGTGTTTTATTATTGCTGCTTTAACAGCATTTGCAATATGGTGCATGAAGTGTTTTGCATGTGAGTAGACAATTATGAGGACATGGGTAATGCATTACATAAAAGCTGATGCGTACTTCTCAAGCAGTTCACAATAGCCTCTTTGTAATATTGACTTCAAACAGCTCATGTTCTTTCATTTATTACTGCTCTATTGTTTTAAGCCACGTCTAGTAGAATCCAGGAAAATGCATAATCAAGCCGTTTCCTACATCAACTTTGATTGAAAATTACTGGCTTAGTGGGAGTGATGAAGTTAGAGTGGTAGCGTCATGTAGAACTTTATTCTCTTAAGTACAGTATTAGCGGCAAGTCAGTCTGGTCGTAGAATAAGAAGTTCTTTCTTCAAGTTGCCTTGTTTAGTGGTCATATTTTTATTTCCCCTTTTCATGAAAGCATTTGGGGCTAACATTCATGAAATTGCATTTAATTATTGGACTATGATCAACAGTTTGCTATATATATTTCAGTTACAATACTGTTACATGTG